TGTCTCTCACACACACACTCACACACACACACACACACACACACACACACACATGCACACACACACTATTAAAAGCTGAGGCTGTCATCCGGTTGTTGTGTCAGTGTTATATAGATATATATAGATATATATATATATATATAGAATCCAATCACATTGGGGAAATTGTGCTTTATACAATCGCACAATTTACAAATGTTGACTATATCTCCAAATGGTAGTATCATCCTGTAAATGTAAATCTAAATCTGCGTTAGGATACGTAGGAATCAGTTTTAAAAAAAAACGATCGAAATTACGAAGCGTTACAAATACAAATGTGTTCTCCAGAGTGAAAAAAATATATATATCAATTGACATTTTAAGAGCGTCGAAAAAATGAACTCACATTCGGTCATGCCGAGTCTGTTTTTGTATGGGGCATATTTACAATTCTTGTTTTTTTTTTTGCAAAACCGAAAAAAAAATGAGCCTGCAGAAATGATACCTTTAAATTTGTTGATGTGTAAAATAAAGCAAACGTAGATCATAACATTACCTGTCTATACGAATTATATATTCAAATTTATCTGCAAGCATTTATCGGCACAGGCCAAAATACATTCATGAAGGAAAATGTGAAAAAATAAAATGGAAAAAAAATGTCAAACGGTTCTTTTCCCAAGAATTATTATTCATATTTGAAGAGAATTTTATTTGTTTCCTGTGTCGGGGCGACTCAACAAAGCCGTTGCTTCTGCCAGCGGGTGACACCAGCGCGTGAGTGTGTGTGTGTGTGTGTGTGTGTGTGTGTGTGTGTGTGTGTGTGTGTGTGTGTGTGTGTGTCCAATACGAGCACGTTAACGAGCGGCCTGTCACTCTGCTGCTCTCAAGGCAGACCTCCGTGTCATTAACTACGCGGCCTGTGCGTGTGCGCGCGCGCGTGACACGGGTATAAATGTAATAATCTCTCAGCAGGGCAGAAAAAACATTGGGTCTCTTTTGGCGCCACAATGTCAAGATTTCAATGGTGGCTGTCTCCAAATCTGAAGTGTGCATGTGCGTGCGAGCGGGCGTGCGTGCGTGCCACGTCATGGAAAAAATTTTGATTTATCTGTCTATCTATCTAATATATATATATATATATATATATATATAAAATCGTAAATTTGTAACTTGTAAATTTCCCCAGTGTGGGACAAACAAAGGAGGTCTTATCTATCT